GGTGAGGATGTCAGTGTCAATGAGTGTCTATTGAGGTCTCGATTTGAGACTCGTGAGTAGCGCAGAGGACGGTGCTGGCATCTTTGGGGTAGTGGTGTCTGGTTTATAAAGTCTGAAGCGGCTTCCTGTGGAGAATATCCAGGCGTGTTCTGAGGAAAGGTGGGGAGAGTTTAAAGGAGACGCAGGTTTGAATGAGTCCAGCGACTCACGTGCTCTGACACGAGCACTGTTCTCTGCTCACCAGGGTCCCGACTCTGTGCATGTAGGTTGTTAATCCACAGGCAAGCTGGCGATGTGGGGTCATGCCTTCTGCGTGCAAGCCCGTGAGTGGGAGACTTGTCAGGGGAGCGTGGCCGTGTTCCCGGGCCTCTCACGCTCCTCTGTGTTCTCAAGCCCTCCCGATCCAGCCTGCTACTGTCTCTCTGGATTATCTCTACAGCCTCCTGATTCATAGTCTTCCCGTTTCTGCCCACAGACCATTCGATCTACTCTCACACCGCGCCATTTCTCTATTCCAGTACCCAGGGCCTTTCCATGGCCCCAAATAGATATCTTTACCCAGGCCCTCCCAGTGGCTCCAGTTCCAGCCTTTTCCACTCGTGTCTGGCCTTCTAGCTCTTCTTGGAACAGTTAGCCATTAACGTTTCCCATGCAAGTACTGGCTGTTCCCCCAAACCTCTGCACCCTTGCTCTCATCTTCTGATCTTCTCTCAAAACGCACATTCTTGTATAACATTGCAACATGTCTCCTGTGACCACGTTTCTCTTCTGTTTCCTCATAGGCTTTCTCTTCGTAGCGTTATGCTATGCCTACCTATCCATATTAGTTGTTGTTCTGACGTCTGTACATTTGTGAAACAGTGATCTTTTGAGTGTCCTGGTCACACTGCTGCATGCTGAAACTTACCAAATGAAGGAATCAAGGAACCAAACTTATCAATAACCACCGAGCACCACAGGCCCCTGGTTGATCTTATTGGCAATGACCAGGATCTTTTCAGCCTGTGACATAAAGTATCTCCAATGATCCTGTGACCTGGAAGGCGTTTGGAATGGTAGGCTCAAGCATCTTGATATTCTGGCAGTTGGTATCCATATAAAGATGCAACTCTACCCGACTCACCCCAGGACCAGGAGAAAGCCTGTTTTTAGAAGAGAAAATGGTGTTCAGCTTACCTTCCTTTTGGAGGAGCTTTCTTACTACATGTGTCTCCCATCAATGTGTTTTTGAGGGTGTTCCTTGGACAAGCCCTGAAGGAATACTGACGCTAGTTGTCTTCTCCAGGGTATCGGAGGTCGGGGGCCAGGGGAGAGGATTTTTGAAGCCATAACATGACATCCTCCCTTATATGACTAAGTGATTAGAAAAATTGGCATGTTTGTGAACTCTGGAGGAATCATTTCAATGTATTCTTTCCGTAAGTGATTTTTGCACACTGTCTGCACACCAGGCTCTGTTGTAAGAGGAGGAACACGCACTGAACCTACCAGAGTCGATATCCTCATGGGGACCTCAGTCTCGGGGAAGAAGGAAACATCAGACAAATAAATCGACACCTCTGTGGTAGCACAGGGCGACCATGGAAGCAAGACGCACAGCAAAGTGGAGAAGAGTTTGTTCTTGGCTTCATGTTGCTGGATTGGGGAGGTGGCAGTACTCAGGGCCTTGTGAAGATGAACATTTTCATAGAGAGTGTAGGGATCGCCACCCCAAAGGGATGGCAGCGTGCGTAGCTGGGTTATAGAAAGGCGTGTGGTGTCTACTCGGCTCATGGTCAACTCAAACCTCCCTCTGGGATGAGGAAGCCTAGCTATGCTCTTCCTTTGCCAGCTCTGTATCCTGCAGAGATCTGCATGATCGGAACAGGGAGACTCCAAGCTGCGCTTGAGGGGGAGAGGCCAAGTCCTGGAGTGAGGGAAGCAGAACCCAGACTCTGGAGAGGTGACAGGGCTTCCGAGACTCGCTTGCCCCTGAGCACAGGGTGCAAATCAGAACTAGCATTATGTTTTATCTTGCCTCTACATCAGCATATTTTCCACAGACACATTTGTGGCAAGTGAATTGCTGTGACTCCTGTATTAACGAATGGCGTTATCCAGGCCGGTCTTGAATTGGGCTTTTGTGTGTCTTCTGGTGGAGGAGAGGGCAGAGGAGAGGGAGGCTGGAGGCTGGTGCCGCTCTGAGGTTCAGAGTCAGGTTGGCGTGGCCAAGTGGAACAGCATGGGTGGGGCCGGTGGCGTCGGCCGGGGAGGCGCAGGACGGTTGGCAAGTCCGGATTGGCCTCACGCCTCTGAAGTGCCTTGCGGTCCTGGCTGAAAAACCTTGAATAATTTCCACGTACTTCTTTGATTGTGGCAAGCGGGGCAGAAAGCAATCCACTGTTCCATCAACAACGATCTCTTTCATTGAGACGTGCATTTCTAAACAATACATGGAGTATTTAAGTTGTTAATTTATCATAAAGAACCTTTCTGGGTCATCCAGTGACCTGTACAAAAGGCAAGTAACAGAAGCGCATCGAGTACTAAGTCCTCACTAGGCACCACGTCAAATCGCTTAGCCTCTCATGTAACCCGTCCAGCACAGTTAGGGGACTAACAGCACCAGAATTCCATCTCAGTGGGAGGGAGCCTTGGCCGCCTGTGTTAGCAAAGGGCTCTGTGGCTGGGCTCGTGACCCCCACGGGCTCTTTTTTCCCCCTTTTCTTTTGAAGCAGGGTCTCAGGAAGTCTCCTGGGCTAGCCGCACACACTCTTCTTGCTTGGGCTTCCTGAGTAGCATTCTTCTCAGTTTGAACACTAGTTCCCCATATTTGTGCCATAGTTGGTAGTATGTCCAGGATATGGGTCTCTGAACTTTTTCACGACTGCAATGACTAGCCAGCTCTAGTAAGAAATTTCCAAGGAAATGTGACTCCTCTAAAACCAATGTCTATATCCCAATAAGCTTTCTTTGATCAAGTGAGGCCTCAGTGTAAAACAAATGAGTAAACAAACAGAAAACAATTGGATCTGCATATTTTGTCTGTGTGTGTCACATATGAAGGACAGACAAGCCATAGGAACGTCTCCCACTACCCCAGAACAGCAAGTTGATGTTGCCCTGTTGGCTAGACTCAGCTCTTCGTGGATCTCTGGAGCTAGTGGGTGAGATCGCCTGGTGGTCGATTGTGGAGCAGATGGTTGTGCTGAAAAACTCCTGGAGAGCATGCCCAGGCTCCTGTGAGGATGGTTTATGTGTGACTGCATGTCAGTGTGTGTGATCGTGTGTGACTGCGTGTGATGGTGTGTGAACGGAGGAGGAGGAATTCACCCGACAGAGACAGGCTCTCTCTGTAGCATCTGTCAGACTATTTGGCCAATTGAATTCTATGCCGAGTATTTAAGATTGTTTTGTTTGTATATCTGCATTAGAAAGAAGTCCCTCCCCCTACATTACTTCTGTAATTTCCTAATGAACTTTTCCTATCTATATATAATTTCCTAATGAACGGCTTTTCTTTCCGTATGATGAGAGCTTTGATTGAGGATTCATCTATGCTGTGAGTTACAAGTCATTCGCTGGTTCTCTCTGTTCAGCGACCCGCCCCGCCCCGCCCCGCGGGCAGCCGAGCTGTGTGCTGCTGAAATGTGGTTCATTCCATCTGCCTAACTAATGTGACGTGTGATCAGTGAGAGGCCAGCCTTACTTCTCCTCTGAATCGTCTATTCATCAGCTCCACCTAAAGAGCATCCATCAAGTGTTTGAACGTTGTGGTGATGCCAAGGTTTCATGCAAGGGAAGGTTAGGGAGGGAGAGTACCTCTGCTTTCCTGCAAAGATTTTCTTGCAGCTGTATCTTTAAACCGGTCTTAGCATGAGGTTACCTACTCCATCCGGAGAGACCCTCGACCCGCGCGAGGCCCCTCGGTGAGGTCGGCCCCTCCCTCAGTGTTGCTGCCCGGCTTGGTGTTGAGCTTCACAGGTGTGCGATGTGGGGGAGAGCTCGCCAAGACGCGGTGCCAGCACAGAGAATGGAAGGCTACGTGTGCTCCAGCCCCCGCCGCTTCCGCCCGTGTTGAATGTGCGCATGGCCGGAGCTGACAGTTCGCTCCAAACCCAGCAGCCAGCACAGTGCATCACGGGCACTCCGTGCACGATCATTGCCAGTTGGTTGTTCCGGGGCATTCTCTGTCACTGGATTAGGATTGTCTAGAAAGACTAGAGGGCAGCATAGAACCAAGAAGAATCTAAAGTCGTATCAAAGGAACACATGCCCTGCTGGCACGGAGAGGTGACTTGTCTCTCCTCTGGGGGGGGGGACCTGTTAGGTAGGCACTCTACCACTTGGACCTCACCCCCAGCCTCTTGCTTTAGTTATTCAGGTACGGTCTCACTCTTGCTCAGGCCAGGCTTTGGGCTGTGAGTCTTCTTGAGCTGGGATTACAGGTGTGAACCCCCTGCTTGGCCTTGCTCGCTCTCCTCGGGACACACAGGAGCCGTGCTGGGTGGATCATGGGAATGCTAGGAACTTTCTCCTCAACATGTTGTCATCACCGTGCTCCTTCTTGGGGTGAACATTCTGGTGTAAAGGAGAAGTGCTCCTGGTCCATGCCTACTATGAGCCTGTGGCTCTTGAAACTGCCCTTTGGGGAAGCCATCACTGTCGGTGGTAAGGAGATCATGTGTTTAGGGCTGCCTGGCCTTTTGTTTTTGTTCCACTTGGGGATGTTTAGGACTGGATGTGATGGGAGAGGAGAGTGAGCGTTCCCTTTGGCCCGTCTTTCCATTCCATGCTTCCTGGTTATTGCATTAGGCATGCTTTCGTGATGGTCCACCAAACCTGCCTCGTCCCTCTCATCCCTCCCAAGTTCACTAACCCGCACAGGAGGTGCGGACATGAAGAATCCCTTCCCGTCTCCATTCCCTTTTGCTCATGAATCGCTCAAGTGTGTGGAAATGGTGGATGGTGGTGTCTTGAAGCCCCTTTGGGCCATCTGGTTACGTTCATTGACTTAGCACATGATGCTGATGAAGCCAGTCAGGGCTCTGGGCACACCAAAGGCTGCAGAACAATTTTCCTTGGTCATAAATTGCATCCTGCACCCAGAAGTGGGCACCTCCAAAGTGCCCACTGATGCCCACGGGGAGGGACATTGGGTAAACGGCCAGCGTCCAGCATCAAATCATCACACTTGACAAGAGACAAAGACAAAAGAAGAGCGCGCAGGGGATGAGGTCAATCTGACTTGATCATGATCCATGCACGTGTGAGTCACCATGGGGAAATAAAGCTAACAGCGAGACTTGAACGCAGGGCCCTGAGGTAGCTCAAGCCATGCCCTCGGTCCTTTGGTTTCTTGTGTTTGTGTGGGGTCTCACTAGTTGCTCCTGATTCCTCATGACCTTCCTGCCTCTGCTTCCTTAGCACCTGGGAATGACAGAGGTGTACGACCCCTGCCTAGCCCGTCTGACTTTTCACGGAATCTCTACGCTGCCTCATCTGCATTTTCACTAGCAGCGCGTGAGGACACGTTTGCTCACCATCTTCACTACATCTTCTTTTCTGTTGATGGAAGCCGTGCTGACTGAGATAAAATTTCAGTGTAGTTTTGGTGTACATCGTAAAGCAGTTAAAGATTGTGCTTTTTCCTTTGCAATATACCAGTCGAATGTACTTGTCCGTTTTTGGATTCGATTATTTGTTTTGGGGGGTGTGTGTACGGTGTGTGTCCAAATTCTTATTCTGAATTTCTTTCTGGACATGAGATACATAGCTGACAAAAGAGTTTTGGTTTTGTTTTTAATTGATCCTGGGGCTTAAACTCAGGGTCTGGGTGCTGCCCCTGAGCTCTTTTGCTCAAGACTAGTGCTTTTCTACCACTGTGAGCCACAGCGCCCCTCCCAGATTTTGACTGGTCATTTGGAGATGAGAGGCTCACATGGGGACTTCTCTGCTTCATCTAGCTTCCAATTACGATCCTCAGATCTCAGCCTCCTGAATAGCTCGGGTTACAGGTGTCAGTCCTCAGTGTCCCAACAGGGATTTTCTAATGAGTGATAACAGTAGCACAATTACAAATTTACACAAAATTGCTCAACACATTTGCTCTTTAGATCCTGCGTAGATTACTTAATCCACTGTTCTATTTTGGGAATTTTTATTCATTTGGGGATGAGTTACTTTGAATTTTAATCATAGACAGACGGAGTCCCACTTGGTTATAAGAAATAAACTCCTGCTTCTTGCCAATAGCATCGATGGATCGATGGATATATGAATTCCTTCTCTATGCTGCCTCCTCACTGTTCGAGCTTTCTGGAGCATGAATTCAGCAGAGTGCAGTTGTTTAACCTGTCAAGTCCACTGGTGATGTGTTATTGTTCTCATGTGTTGCGTTTCAGGAATCGCCTCCGTTGTCTGGACTTCCTGAGTGTGTCAAAGTTGTAGAAGTTGGTCCTCGGGATGGGCTGCAGAACGAGAAGGTAGGTTCAGGCTCATCTGGCTTCACAGAGTACATCCCAAGTTCCAAGCCCAAACCCTGACACTTGTTTAGGTTTCAAAGGCTCATTGATTTGTGTATGTTTCTTTGCCCACGGCTTCCGGAATTTATAAATTGTATTTGCTTTTCAGCCAGGAAGTCATTTTCTACTCGTGCTTCAACAGACCTTACGTCAATTAAATTACGAAAATACCCTCTTATGTTTTCACAGATTATAGTTCCTACAGATATAAAAATCGAATTCATCAATCAACTTTCCCAGAGCGGCTTGCCTGTGATAGAAGTGACCAGCTTTGTGTCCTCAAGATGGGTGCCACAGGTGCGTACGTAGCCTCTCGCATGCAGCGTCCCGAACGTAGCGTATTTGGTATTGTGGGGAGCGCCCCCGTGACACCACACTGTTGCCAGCTCACAGACTAGCAGGACTGAAGGAAGCCTTGTGCGTGGGGTCCTGTGTGGACTCAGTCTTGGTCCTGTGCACGGGTGGGGCTGACCTGCAGCCAGGGCCACGGGCCTTTGTAGCCACCATGTTGGGGGCTGCCTCCTGCCGGCCACTGGGAGCACGTCTGAGCCTCACTGTAGAGCAGTGTGGTAAGTGGCCGGTCGCTTCCCCCTGGAGCCTCGGCCCTGGGTGAGAAGTGCAGGCCTTGAGTCTTGCTTCTTTTAGCAATCGACTTTGTCGTGGGGATGGGGAGGGAGGCAGCACCGGAGGTGAGGCACCGGGTCGGGAGCTGCCCGTAAGAACGGCAGAGTGCTGGGCTTCACTGAGTGTGTACAGGCCATGGAAGAAGACCGGGTTCTGAGACTCGCTGAGCACAGGATGGAGCCCCCGTGGCGACTGGAAGCCCGCACAGGCTTCCTGTGCTGCTGCCACCGCGCCTGCCCTTGCCGCCCGCCTCCTGTCTCTCACCACCTGGTGGTCTAATGGATTTCTTGGTCTCTTCTCTTGGTGTCCGGTCTCTCCTCACTGGTCAATCACGGCCCAGCCTCTCCGCATCCTCGCTGAAGTCCTTCCGTAACCCCTGGGCTGGGGCTCTTACCTGACGATGGCCTCCTCCTCCTCCTGGTCTCTGTTTCTTTGTCCTTATCAGGGCCCCTTCTGTGGGGATGACGTTCCTAGCTCTGGTCCCATTTTCTCTGCTGAGCTGATTGTGTGCCAGACTCCTAAGTCCATTGGGTTCAAAATCAAACTCGTGCTGCCTGATGCTGACCCCAGTGCCTCCCGCTGGGATGCTGGACGTGCCTCTCCACGAGAGCTCTGGCCTTCTGTTCACGCTCTGCCCTGGGACTGTGCCCTCGGGTGGCTTAGCATCGGAGGTCTGCCTGTCCTGTCTCGGATCTGGAGGTCAGGAGGTCTGCGGCGAGCAGGCTGGCAGGGCTGGCATCTGGTGAGGGTCTGCGGCGAGCAGGCTGGCAGGGCTGGCATCTGGTGAGGGTCTGCGGCGAGCAGGCTGGCAGGGCTGGCATCTGGTGAGGGTCTGCGGCGAGCAGGCTGGCAGGGCTGGCGTCTGGTGAGGGTCTGTGGGGAGCGTACTGGCAGGGCTGGCGTCTGGTGAGGGTCTACGGGAGCGTGCCGCAGGGCTGGCGTCTGCTGAGGGTCTGCGGGAGCTTGTCGGCAGGGCTGGCGTCTGGTGAGGGTCTGCGGCGAGCAGGTCGGCAGGGCTGGCATCTGGTGAGGGTCTGCGGGAGCGGGCCAGCAGGGCGTCTGCTGAGGGCTCCTGCCCACACGTGGTGGACAGCAGAGGTTGTGCAGGCTTCCCCTGCCTCCTCTGAAGAGCGTGTTCTGCACTATCCCAAGGGCTTCCCGCCCAGGGCTCAGCTCCTGAGGGGCCAGGAGCTCCACGCACCAATTTTGGGTTCAGGCACGGTGACTAGCGACTCCTCAGTCCCTTTGGTCCCCGTGCGCCTCTGCCTGTCTTTGCTTTCCTATCCGGTGGATATGGTAGCACCACCCGCACTGAGTGGAGGCCACGCAGCCTCTCACGGATAGCCTACGCTGCCACATCCTCACTGCTTCTGCGCAGTCTCCAGAAATGCCGCCTCTGACAGGAGCTGCCTTCTTTAATAGTTCCCCTCCTTCCTATCCAAAACACAAAACCTCCAGACTTTGTGTGGTCTACAAGACTCCTGCGCCCTCCCCGCCGCGGCCTCCCCCCTGCGCCCTCCCTGCTGCGGCCTCCCCCCTGCGCCCTCCCCGCCGTGCCCTCCCCCTGCGCCCCGCCCCCTGCGCCCCGCCCCCTGCGCCCCGCCCCCTGCGCCCTCCCCCTACGCCCCGCCCCCTGCGCCCCGCCCCCTGCGCCCCGCCCCCTGCGCCCTCCCCCTGCGCCCTCCCCGTGGCGCCCTCCCCCTGCGCCCCGCCCCCTGCGCCCTCCCCCTGCGCCCCGCCCCCTGCGCCCCGCCCCCTGCGCCCTCCCCCTGCGCCCTCCCCGTGGCGCCCTCCCCCTGCGCCCCGCCCCCTGCGCCCTCCCCGTGCGCCCTCCCCCTGCGCCCCGCCCCCTGCGCCCTCCCCGTGCGCCCTCCCCCTGCGCCCCGCCCCCTGCGCCCTCCCCGTGCGCCCTCCCCCTGCGCCCCGCCCCCTGCGCCCTCCCCGTGCGCCCTCCCCCTGCGCCCCGCCCCCTGCGCCCTCCCCCTGCGCCCTCCCCGTGGCGCCCTCCCCCTGCGCTCCGCCCCCTGCGCCCTCCCCGTGCGCCCTCCCCCTGCGCCCCGCCCCCTGCGCCCTCCCCGTGCGCCCTCCCCCTGCGCCCCACCCCCTGTGCCCCTCCCCGCTGCGCCCTCCCCCTGCGCCCCGCCCCCTGCGCCCTCCCCCTGCGCCCTCCCCGTGGCGCCCTCCCCCTGCGCCCCGCCCCCTGCGCCCTCCCCGTGCGCCCTCCCCCTGCGCCCCACCCCCTGTGCCCCTCCCCGCTGCGCCCTCCCCCTGCGCCCCGCCCCCTGCGCCCTCCCCCTGCGCCCTCCCCGTGGCGCCCTCCCCCTGCGCCCCGCCCCCTGTGCCCCTCCCCGCTGCGCCCTCCCCCTGCGCCCCGCCCCCTGTGCCCCTCCCCCTGCGCCCCGCCCCCTGCGCCCCTCCCCCTGCGCCCCGCCCCCTGTGCCCCTCCCCGCTGCGCCCTCCCCTCTCTGCTGCGCCTGTTCCCGGCTGCGCCCCTCCCCGCCACGCCCTCCCCGCCGCGGCCCTCCCCCTGCGCCCCGCCCCTTGTGCCCCTCCTCGCTGCACCCTGCGCCCTCCCGGCCGCACCCTCCCCCTGCGCCCCTCCCTGCTGCGCCCTCCCCTCCCCGCTGCACCTGTTCCCGCAGCGCCCTCCCCGCTGCACCCTGCGCCCTCCCGGCCGCACCCTCCCCCTGCGCCCCTCCCCGCTGCACCTGTTCCCGCCGCGCCATCCCCGCGGCGCCCTCCCCCTGCACCCTCCCCGCTGCACCTGTTCCCGCAGCGCCCTCCCCGCTGCACCCTGCGCCCTCCCGGCCGCACCCTCCCCCTGCGCCCCTCCCCGCCGCGCCCTCCCCCTGCGCCCTCCCCGCCGCGCCCTCCCCCTGCGCCCTCCCCGCCGCGCACTCCCCGCTGCACCTGTTCCTGCCGTGCCCTTCCCCTGCGCCCTCCCCCTGCACCCTCCTCCTGCGCCCTCCTCCTGCGCCCTCCCCGCTGGCCTGTCCCCAGGCTCCCTTCTGCCCTTCGTTCTGTTACCCCACGTGCTCCGCGAAGCTCCTGCCTCCGTTTCCTTTCCTGCTTCTTCTAATCACACGGACCTTGTAGAGGACTGGATCTGCCTCTCGGTGTCAACATTTTTATCCTGCAGTTTTCACGGGGTGGTGTAAAAGAGCTGGAAACCATGGCGGCCTTGGTAATGTCGTACATGGAGATGGCACAGTAGGAAGGTGGCTGCCTGTGGCTTTCCACCCTTCCGTTTATTGATCCCAGTGATTTGTTCTGAGGGACAGAGGCCTGGCAGGGAGCCGACAGCGGGTGCAATGCTCTGGGTGCGAATGCCACAAGAATTACATACCTCACCTAGCCTCACTGTTTATTATATGTATATATGTAATATATATCACACACATACACCATGTGTGTGTATTTCCCCAGTGATGTGCTTCTGCCCTAAGCATTGCAGCAAATACTGTGTGACCAAGTCTCTGTGTCTCTGTGTCTCTTGGGGCATAGAATAATGAGTCCATAAGCCTAAAAGAACCATACAAATATGATTTCAGTTTTCCAGCCTAGGCAAGTGACTTCTTTTGGTTCATTTTTTTGTTCTCATAAAACTAGGGAGGCAAATATCTTACTTGGAAATGCACCGCGGCCTGATTTCCCTGAGATGCCTTGTTGCAATGTGACTACCATCGCATGGTCAGCTGCTTCCGCTCATTTAAGGACGCTCGGGAACGTCCTGCTCTTCACGGTCCTCCTCACACTGGATTGCTGCTGTGCAGGAGCCCGGCCTGCTTGCAGAGCTGGGATGGGCCTGGGAGAGGGGACAGCAACGAGGCCCAACTGTTACCACCACGTTACATTTCCCAGGGCTTTGCAAAGCTGCAAACAAAGCGTTCTCTTTCCCTGAAATGACGCTCAAGGCCACATCCTACTGCTGTACAATAGAAGAAACTGATCGCTTGCTTGCTTGCTTGTCATCAGCCCCATCTACAACACACCCACTGATCTTTAAGAGAACGTACTGGAATCCTGTTCTCAAGGCCATGCTTCCTTTAGAGCTGGCGAGGGGACAGATGGACGGGAAGAGCACGCAGGCAGCCCCCGCCCCCTTCCTGGCACATGGGATGGGGCTCTAAAACGACATGATTTATTCTGAGCTGGGTCCTGGGTTGAATTTGGCCCTGAGCCTGCGGAGATGTAATGAGCTCTTTCCAGGCTCAAAGTATTATCAAATCAGCGGCGGGCTTCCCCCCCACAGCGCCCGAGGCTTCATAGCCATGTGAAGAGGCTTCTAGGCGTGTGCCCTTGCCTGCCTTGTGCCTGGCGCTGGGTAAGGCTTTGCCGCCCCAGTGGATCCACGCAGCTCTGAGGCCTGGGGGGAGGGGGAGAGGTGCAAACCTCCTGTGCGCCAGCGCTCAGGGCTCCCAGGAGCCAGAGCGCCGCCCTGGCCAGCGCCCACTGTGCTGTGCACCGTGCTTACACTAATACGTGCTTAGTTCACCGTCCATAATCACCAGTTACGGACATGGAGCCAGCCATGTGTGCAGCATCGCAAGCAGCTTAGGGAAACCCACCAAATGGCTGTCATAAACAGGGGCTGGGTGGGAAAAGGTCCAGAGGCGATAAGTTTAATCACAGGGCCCTGTGCATGTTTGGAAGCTCCATGATAAGACGCCTCC